AGAACTCCCAGAAGTACAAGCTGGATTTCGAAGGGGCAGAAGAACTAGAGACCAAATTGCTAACATGTACTGGATTAGGGAGAAAGCCAGAGAGTTCCAGAAAAACATCTACTTCTGCTTTATTGACTATGCAAAAGCCTTTCACTGTATGGACCACTACAAACTATGGCAAGTCCTTAAAGAAATGGAAGTGCCTGACCATCTTATCTATCTCCTGAGAAACCTATATTTGGGACAGGAGGCAACAGTTAGAACTGGATATGGAACAACTGATTGGTTCAAAATTGGGAAAGGAGTACGACAAGGCTGTATATTGTCTCCCTGCTTATTTAACTTTTATGCAGAATTCATCATGCGGAAGGCTAGAATGGAGGAATTTCAAGCCGGAATTAAGATTGCTGGAAGAAATATCAACAACCTCAGATATGCAGACGATACCACTATGATGGCAGAAAGTGAGGAGGAATTAAGGAACCTCTTAATGAGGGTGAACGAGGAGAGCGCAAAAAATGGTCTGAAGCTCAACATCAGAAAAACTAAAATCATGGCCACTGGTCCCATCACCTCCTGAGAAATAGAAGGGGAAGATATGGAGGCAGTGACAGTTTTTATTTTCCTGGGCTCCATGATCACTGCAGCCACAAAATTAAGAGATGTCTGCTTCTTGGGAGGAAAGCAATGACAATCCTAGATAGCATCTTAAGAAGCAGACAAAGGTCCGCTTAGTCAAAGCTATGGCTTTTCCAGTCACAATGTATGGAAGTGAAAGCTGGACCATAAAGAAGGCTAACTGCCAAAGAATTGATGCTTTTGAATTGTAGTGCTGGAGGAGACTCTTTAGAATCCCCTGGACTGCAAAGAGAACAAACATATTCATTTTGAAGGAGATCAACCATGAATGCTCACTGGAACGACTAATCCTGAAGCTGATACTTTGGCCATCTCATGAGAAGACTCTGTGGAAAAGGCCTTGATGTTGGGAAAGTGTGAAGGCAAGAGGAGAAGGGGACAACATAGGACGAGATTGATGGACAGTGTCATTGAAGCTACCAACATGAATTTGACCAAACTCCGGGAGGCAGTGGAAGACAGGAGGGCCTGGCGTGCTCTGGTCCATGGGGTCACAAAGAGTCGGACATGACTTAATGACTGAACAGCAACAATATGAGAATGACCACATATAAAGAAGGTCAGATCATTTTTAAAAATCATATTGTACAGCATTAGAAGCAGTATATTTTACCATCTTTTTACTCTTTACTGAGTTTTTATATAAATAAAAACTTCAATTACTCTTTTTGTACTATGAAACATAAGTAAAGTTTAAAGATGTAGCATCTAACAAAAATACCATTAGTCAGAACACTCTGTTGGCCAGGTATTAGACACAGACTTGATGTGAAATGTTTGTGTGAGTTACTACCATCTATGTTACCACCACTTATAAACTCGAATCCAGGCTTGCAATTCCTGGATACATGCTAACTTCAACTTAGAAGCCTTACTTTTGAAAAAAATTGTATTAAAATGCATACCTAGTGAACCTGCTTAACAAAATTAGTCTTATTTCTTAAATGTATTTCATTGAGTCACTTAAAGTCAGCTTCCCTCTGTGTCAGCGTGATTTATCACTTTGCTCCCTTTTGTTTGTTTTTTTGTTTTACTAAGAAAAATCCTTTCACCATTTCCCTTGAGTAGATTTGTTCTTTCCCAAGGACACTTCGTTCTTCCTCACATTCACTTTTCTGGATTCACATTTTCATATGAATAAGCAAGCACTACACTTTCAACAGTTTCACTTTTATACGATACTTCCCATGAATATATTTGCAATATCATATCCTTTTAGGTTACCTTGGGGATTAGGGCTGAAGTTTCTGTCAGTACAGTAATAGGGTTTTCTGCATAGTATTCTGGTACTTTGGCTGTTTCCATTAGGACGTATCTTCAGGGATAATTCTGAAGGTTTTTATCCTGCATAGCAGCAGTTTGTCAAGCAGCTAAAAGAGTGGTCCTAGAAATAGTGTAGCAGCTGTCAGATGCACATTGTGTTTAATCTCTTTCTCTTTTTTTTTACCTTTGTGTGGTTGTTACACTGAGAATACTGAATATAGTATACACATGCTTATGAGTTGCTTCTTATGTAATCTGATAATGTCTATGTTGTTCTGTGTTATATATATATTATATATATATAATAACACAGAACAACATAGATGTAGTGGAAAAAAGAATGGCACAGGGTTAAACTGATTATATTTTCAGGCAGGATTGCAGCCATGCACAGTTGCTAGTTTATGAACAAAATCTGAAAGCTGTACATTTAACCATGCTTTGTTCTGTGGACGTTCATAGGTCATAATAATTATCTTCCGAGATAAAAATGTCACTTTCTGACGAAAACCTAATACTGGAACAGAAGAGACCAGCACATGCACAAACCCAGCCGGCACTGGCAATCTGACCATAAGCTTGTTTATTCAAAGTTAAGTTCTACTGAATGCAAAGAGATTTACTTTCAGTTTAAAAAGAGAACAGAAATTCTACCTCAATATTTTGAGAATAGGGAACAGACAATGTAGGCCACTTATACAGATTAATATTTATTTACTTTGTAGCCTATCACCTCCCTTTAAAGATGTGCTTAAGGCAGCATATAAAATATCATAAAGAAAGTTTAAAACTACAGTATAAAAATGTAACATCAGTGGAAACTACTAGAAAATAAAGATAGATGAAGCAAGCAAAAAATAAACATTGACAAATCTGTCCCTTGGTTATCTATTTTGTAGCAGGAGGCATCTGATACATTTTTTCTTTTGGATTTAATCTTGAAGAAAAGTCAACTTTCAAGTTATTCAAGTTTTCAAGTTATTCCCAATATTGAGTATTGCATAACCAACTCATGAGAGATGAGATTGTTTGCTTCTCAACAATTTGTAAGTACCTGATGACACACAGCAAGCAGCTCCACATACCCACTCAGCTTGCACATTAAAAAAACAATGCACATATGCAAAGACAAAATGCAGGTATTTGCCTAATTCTTTTAACTTTACCTTCTGCATTCATTTTCCTCTCGCAACATACTATTTTGCTTTCTATCCAGCAGCTCACTGCTCCAAACCAAATTATTAACTGGAAGGGGGATGAAGGATTTCATCCATCCCAATGTAGTTCCTTTTTTGTTTTGCAGCTGCCAGTTGTTGGGTTTGTTTGTTTGTTTTTGTTTCCTGCAGCTGCTAAGAGAAATGTATTTTGTCAATTGCAAGGAGATTGTGCCCCCTTCTCTCTTCGGATATTCTCTGTATTGTAGCTGAAACTGGAGAGTCTGCTTCCAGCTTTTATCCCTGTTTATAAAAGCAATTAACAGAAATGTGATTTTTGAAAGACCACACTAAGAAATTGACATCTTTATGTTTTATGTATTCGCTTTCACTTTCAGAGATTTTTTTAAAAAACAGAATTTTTTATACCTTAGAATTCTTATTCACTGCTCAACATCAGTATCATGAAGGGTACTACTGCTTTACCGTTTTAGCTTGCTGGATAACTCAGAGAGTTAAGTAACCAGCAGTCAGGAATTTAATTCCATACTGTGCCTCGTGGGGAAACCATGGAAAGCCCTGGAAAGGGACTGCATAGATTGGAATCGAGTTAATAGCACAGGATTATTATTATTATTTACCTTGTTATTATTCCCTTGCAATCTCAGATATTTGCTTTGAATGTTGGAAATAAAGTATAGAACTGATACAGTTTCATCAGTAATTAATATTTAATATGTAATAAGCTTAATATCCCAAATCAGAGCTGCCAACTTTTTCTGTTAAACTTCCCATGGCTTAGTGGGTGCACAGCAGGCTGATATCAAACAGATGAAGTTTTCATGTAACTAAGAGAATGAGGGAAATCTTCTTAGAAATTTGCTTCTTGGGCCTTTATTGTAGACCTTAGATCTTGACTAGGAATAGCACAGCCTTACTTCAACTGTGTACACATCTATACATTAACATACTTAAATAATACACCAAAATTAAAAGCAACCTATTTACATTTGGGTACTATTTATCTTTGCAGAGCCTGCACTTTTACATAGCCTGACTTTAAAGAAATAGTATTTAAAGATGTATTTCATTTTTTATTGAGTTGAAACATTAGTAATTGGATGTACATGTGTGAATACCTCTATGCTGACCACATAACTCCATATCACTGATCATGGGCTTGATTTACAAATGTGATGTATGAAAGTATAATTGCAAAGCAGTTCACATTTAAGATAAGATTCTTCTACTTCTCTCAACAGATCCTTTATCTGCATGACTGAATGCTTCTTTCCCAACAGTTACATACACCAATTGAATTAAGCAGGTGTTCCTTTGGGGACCATCTCTACAAGACAGGAAGGGTAAAAAGTTTTCCTTGCAAATAAATTACCTGCTCTTTCTTTGTTGAATTATTCACAATTTTCTCCTTATTGCAGTAATTATATCATAAGCCACTGTCAAGGTAATGAGCGTATCGTTTAATTTCTATCAGATACAGCACAGTAATGAGTATTCTCTACACAATATATACTGTAATAGATTTAAGCATTAACTTTAATTGATAGAAACCAATACATTGAAATTACTTTGCACATGCTCTGTGATTTATCTGAAATAAATTGGGGTTGTTTCACCACCATCACCGCCCTTGAAGCATAAGGAAGAAATTATATGTTGTGGGATTTATGCATTGGTGGAGGGGAAAGTATACGGAATGCATTGAAACTGTTACTGTGTGCATCCTAATTATTTCTTAGCCATATATAGGTTCAATGAGGTATTTTGGAAAATCTTATATTGAATATTTATGGCTCCCAACTGATGAGGGAAAGAAAATGTGCCCATCCCTTCCCAGAACAAATCAATCCTGACAAGGCTGAAAAACCAACCTGGGAGTGGATGTGAGATTACAGCCTGCCTTGGGTTCCCTCTGAAGGTCAAGATTCATACTTTTGCAATGCAGTTGGGCTAAGGGTGTATGCTTTAGAGACCATAGGGCACAGTTTATGATTCACTTCACTACTTTCCAAACTGTTTCCAAAGTTAATTCAATTTGTGGTTCTGTTTTTGACCTACAGATCTTACAAGGCTTGGAGGCAGGATATCTGAAAGCAGGGATGCTGATGAGTCTTTGGGTCTGAATCCCAAGTGTAAGTCTGAATCTTTGGTATCAAGTGTCATGTATCAAACCCCAAATCTGAGTCCTTATTAAAACAAGCTTTTCTTCCTAGAAAAAAAGGGAGGGGTGGGTTTCAAGTCATAAGTCAAGTCTGAGTCGAGTCTCTGGTGTGACTTAAGTCTGACTTGACAGTGAGTCCTGCGACTCAAGTCCCCATCCCTGTCTGAAAGGCTGCCTCTCCAACATGAGCCTGTCTGTATTTTGAGATCTTCAACATGTTGGGGAAAGTATGCTTAAAACAACCAACAAGTAGACACGTACTGCGTTTCCCCAAAAATAAGACAGGGTCTTATTTTCTGTATGTGACCAGTTAATTACAGATTGTTTTTCAAAGGTTACTTTCTTCAGGATCATTTTCCCTTCCTCAAGGAAACGTTTATTTGTTGAGCATCTCTAGTAGAAGGCTGGCTAGGAGGGTGCCTCCTTGATATTTTTTCAGCATGCTTGCACGTATAGAATTCAGCTGTGGAGGCCTTGGGATTCAAGCTGAGGTTTCATCTGGTTTTATCCTGAATAGATTTCTTGGAAGAATAAAATATGTTTTTCCCCCCTACAAGTATCCTGAATGATTACTCCCAATTCTTAGGCACAAGCTCATCCAGCTAGCCAGCTACACTCAGGTAACATGATTAACACATATTTCTTAAGGTTATGAGAACAGTTCCTATGAGTTATGGGCACCAGTTATTTCTCTACCAATGCAAAAAAATTAAGTAATTAGAGTAGTTATTGGAATAAAGATGGCTCAGACAAGCACAAGTGTGTGCATGCTTTGATTCCTAAGCTCTTCTGTATGTGCACCTCAGAACAGAAATCCAGATGAAAAAGGAATTTTTAAAGATCTGTAATCTGCAAAACCAATTTAAAAAGCTGGTGGGAACATCCTGTGGTGAAATGAGAGAAAGCATAAGTCAAAGGGGCTTATAGTCCAGTGGTGCAGGGATGCACATCTTACACATGTGAAAAGTTTGTGCAAAACATGATTTTTTGCCAGAGGAATTTGTTTGGAAAGATAGATATACAGAACTAAGTTAAATTGTGCAAAGAGCTATTTGCTCTACAGTTAAGATATGACAGCAATTTTGTTCATTACATCGAAAAAAAGAATTTTTTTGTGCTTAATTAGTGACTTCAAGTAAGAAGCTGATAAAATGATGCTCCAAGAGAAGGGGAATCTTGCTGGATCAAATTACACAGGTAGGAGGTAGCAAGGAGCAATTTAAAAAGAAAGGAGATAAACTATTTGTTTCCAAACTTTGTTGAAGCATCTATGGCCTGAACCAAATTATGTGAACATGGAGTGAGAAACTGAACCAGATGCTCATCAGAGAAGTCTTAATGCAAAACCAAGCTGATAAATACCTCTAGACAAATGCACAAATGACAGATGAACATATATACTGATATATGTTGACGACAGAGTGTGAGCGTATCAAGATTGACTGTGAGGAAGTCTTATGTCATCTGAGAATCAAGGAAAAAGATAGGAAAGCATCATCCTATATATTGGTATACAAAGTGAAAGAGAGGAAGGTGGAGCTTCTATTCTCAGTAAACCAAACCAAATCAAACCACATCAAGAAGATTAATGAAGTAATATATTTAGGACTCAAATATGGTTATGCAGTGAATCTGTCCATGCAAACAGATTACCTAAAGAAAAATGAACACAGATAATTTATGCCACACAATAACTAATACAGAACTATTACAGGGACTTTACTATACCTGGCCACTACTACAAGAGCCGACACAGCAGCAGCAGTTAATATCTTGTGTAGGAAAACACACAAACACAGGCGCGCACACACACACGCGCACACAGAGAGAGAGAGAGAGAGAGAGAGAGATCACCTAGCAGCCAGATATTTAAAGGACACCACATGTGTAAAACTAAGGCTGCAAGCCACAGACAGTTCCAAGTTAGTGGCTTACACACTTGCAGACTGTGTCAGAAGCACACTAATTACAGGTCAAAGGGCACTTGTTCTTCTGTACAGTTAAAACATTTAGCTAGACAAGACAGAAGCCAGTTATGGTGGCAATCTAATCTACTGAAGCAGAATTTGTGTCAACTGCCCATGTTTTTTAGGAAGTTATTTAGCTGTGTTGAATAGTAGAAGATCTGGATATGACTGTATCAAAATCATTCAAAACTGCAGAAAATTCTGGCAGACCAAGCAGCTAAGTCTGCACACAAAGCATCTTGATGTGAGGTATCATCTATGGAAAGACATGCAAGAGAAGGGGCTTATTGAAGCGGAGCACTGTCCATCGAAAGATATAACTGCTGACATCCTTATGAAGCCAATTCCCAGAGACCACTTCTGAGTCCTGCAAGAGATGATGAACCTTGTGGACTTATCAGAGCATTGCTGAGAAGGAATGTTACAATAAGTGGAGGAAATCAGTATCTGGAACATCCACGAGAAGAGCAGTAGGCCACTAAATAGCCAGATAAGATTGGCCATTGGGCCTCTTGGTTTCTTGTGGGTTTCTGTAAGTGATCATCTGTAGATTTTTCACAGGTCACTTCATCTGAGATGATGTCTCCTTCTATTAAAGAAAATAGTTTTGTTTCTTTCTTCTCCATCTACAATAGAAGGCCTTTACCACATTTGCACACATAGAAGCCAATTCTAGTTACAGTGGTGCCTCGCACAACGAGTGCCTCACACAACGATGAATTCACATAACGATGTCTTTTTCTGATCAAGTTGCTGCCTCACACAGCGATGTTTCCTATGGGGGATTTTCACATAATGATGTCCCTATCCCCTCATTTAAAAGTGTCTTAAACTGTTAGGAAACTGTTTTAAATGCTTGGCATCGATAGTCCAGCTTGTGAAAGGCATGCAAACTTAATTTGGTGTTGTTCTGAGTCTTCGTTCATTTTTGCTGATTTTTTTATTTTTCCTCATTGAAATGTATTGGAGAAAACAACCAGTACTCATTTCTATTTGAAATGCCATCAGTAATACAAGTTTTAAAGGCCAGGACTATTTCACAAATGCTTTATGGTTCTCAACTACTCGCTTACACTAATGTATGACCTCTGGAGATTGTTCAGACCAAATTTGCGAGAGCCATTCTTGGAGTTCCACTTTGTACTTCCAATGTGGCTCTTCGCTTAGAGGCTGGGTTAATATCCATTAAAGTACAGTGGTGCCTCGCACAACGAGTGCCTCACACAACGATGAATTCACATAACGATGTCTTTTTCTGATCAAGTTGCTGCCTCACACAGCGATGTTTCCTATGGGGGATTTTCACATAACGATGTCCCTATCCCCTCATTTAAAAGTGTCTTAAACTGCAATGGAGAAAACAAAAAATCAGCAAAAATGAACGAAGACTCAGAACAACACCAAATTAAGTTTGCTTACCTTTCACAAGCTGGACTATCGATGCCAAGCATTTAAAACAGTTTCCTAACAGTTTAAGGCACTTTTAAATGAGGGAAAAGAGACATCGGAATGCCATTGAAATGTATTGAGTCGGCTTCAATACATTCCAATATAGGAAACATTGTTTCACTCATCGATGTTTCCTATGGGGATTTTCACTGAACGATGGCAATCCGTTCCAATTGGAACGGATTAACCGGTTTTCAATGCATCTCTATGGGAAATGGTGTTTCGCAGAACGATGTTTCACACAGCGATGAATTTTTTGGAACCAATTAACATCGTTGTGCGAGGCATCACTGTATTTCTGTAGTCAAGTCTAGATTTTGCCCTGTTTTATCTTAAATGGATTTCTTGGAACAATAGAAGTTTTTCATTTTATCTCACCATGAGCATCCTGACTGATTATTCATAATTCACTTTCCTAGCCTGCCTGCTAATATAATTACCACAAATTCCTACATATTATGAGTGAATTTCCTACAGAGGAGAGTTCTGCTGTGTCTCACCATCCTAAGAGATCAGATTGGCAAGTAGTACACAAGACTGGACTTTTTCTGAAGCAAAACATGTAGCAACACTTTCCCTCCAAGGAAAGTCAGGCTGGCTTCATCCCTCTACACCCCTCCAGATGATGTTGGGCTACAATTCCCATGAACACTTACTATCCTAAGGCTATAGGGAATTGAAGTGTAGGAAGACTGCATTATTCAAATTGCTCCTGGTGGTTAAAATTGTTTCAAATGTTTTCAAAGGAAGTTTTCTGTATATTTTATTGTATCCTGCTTATGTGCGTCTGGTGGGTAGAGAAGTGATTTACTGATACATTTATTAATAAACAAACCATCACAAGTTTTGGTTCAGTTTGGAAACTGCACACAATAAATTATCTTTTAAAAGGCAAATTATTATCTTCCAAACTAAGAAGCAGTATTCACTGGAAACATATGATAGTCATGTATCTCCATTGACCTTTATGTTAATAACTATACATATAACCACTCACTACAGGGAATAAATTGTGGTTTCCACCCCTGGGCACCAGAGGCAGTGTATCTATTTTTAACAGGGATTAAACAGATTGCATATGTGAGGAAAGAGATTGCTTACTGCATAAACCATGCAAGGTGGTCCTAAGAAAATAGAGCTGGAGATTAGATGCCTCTGTCAGGGGATATTTAGCTGAAAATAGTGGACTACAGGGACAAAAATAGGTGAAGGGGAAAAACAACGAGTCCTTTAGAGGGGAACAGCCATAATTAACTTGACTCAAAGGGACAGAAACCTGGCAGAAGGTACTTGCAGAGCTGGTTGCAAAATGCAGGACTTGCACAAGATCAGTATCAGAAAAGATAGGATAGAGTTTATTTGAGAGGGCTTTATAGTGGTAATGGGCCCAAATTCAATATCTCCATTTTTCACAGTTGCTGGCAGTATAAAATGTGTGGTTAATGAAACTCTTCCAAAACAGTTGCATGTATAGTTCTTGAGTGAATGGAGCAATGTTGTGGTTTGCAGTATTAACGTGGAGTCATAATTAGATATGTTCACACACTTGCGGATGATAGTACAAGAGGCACAGGGTTTGAGAGGATATCAAAGCTTAGTGTTCATTATTAATAGAACTGTTTCAAGGAACCATCAAGATAGTCCAGCATGGTTGCTCACGTAGTAAGAACTCAGAAGACCACTTTTCTAAAATGGAATGTTTTAGTACTCATTTCTATTTGAAATGTTTTTATTTTTCCTCATTGAAATGTATTGGAGAAAACAACCAGTACTCATTTCTATTTGAAATGCAATGCTTTAATTGCTTGAATATTAATTTCTTCCTTCAAAAGATTGTTCAGTGATATTAAATCAGCTCAGGAAGTATGAACTGCAAGATAAAGCTTAAGAGCGTTATTAATTAAACATTTGGATGCACTGGAATATTTAAACTGCTATCTCATATGATAAAACTCCAGGTGAAAGATTATATTTGGCATTTATATTTTTTGACAATGCTTAAGTTTATTTAGTTTAGTGCCTTAAATCCTGTTTAGTTTTTGTAACTGGCATATGATGGAACAAGCTACAAGATCAGTTGACACCAAGAGCATTTCATGACATCACCTGTGTTCCAAGATATTTTCACATTTACACACCAGTTGTGGAGTGGGTGGTAAAAATCCTATTGCTTACTGAATTTCTTCCTTACAGGGAAGTTAAAACAATGGCAACCAAGATTAATAGACCAAAGCAAGGGTAAAACAGTGATAACACTGTAAAATGATTATCCTCAGCAACATTATGGCATCACCAGAAAAGTGGTGATGTATTTTGGCTGATGATGCATTTATGCTTCTATTTATGAAAACTAGCAATGCAGCCACATTGGACTGGATTTTCTACACAGATTTGTATTAATGGAAGGTCCAATTACCAATTGCCATGTGGCATGTGTGGCTGGCATTGTTTCTGTTGCACCAGTTGTGGAAGTAGCCTGGTCTGGGCTTCCCTGCCTCCCTTTGCAGCCAACCACTCTGGCGAGGAGGCGGGATGATGAGTATCTTTGCTCAGATGTTGAATGGTCAGCTGTGCAGAGGGGTGGAGAAGCACCAGCTGGGCTACTTAACCTGATTTGTGTGACAGGAACTATGCTGGCTATGAGTGCCGCTTGTTGACCAGTAATTTGACCTGCTGGTTCAGGGGTGAGGAATTGGACTCTTCAGGCACATCTAGTGCCAATATTCAGTTTCATATCCTCAGGGATACGAATATCCCATATCTACTCTGTATCTTTTGTTTGTATTCCAGTGAACCCTCTTCATCAGTGGGAAAACAATGGTCTGTCTTTTAAAATGCAGTGATTTATTTTGTGCAGCTTTAAAACTAAGCTCAAAGCCAGTGGTGGAAATATTTCAATGCTGGCATTGCTTTTTAGGAGAAAGAATCTGCCTGCTCCCCTACTCCCACCCCTCAAAGCTTAAAAAAATCCTGAAAACAATTGATGAAGGAGTGACTGCATGGGGAATCTTAAACAATTTATCTTCACAAGCAGTTTCAGAATCAAATGTTCAGGTAGGGATACTTTCATAAAAGATGGAAGGCACTATTGAAAGATGAAATACTAATAAAGAATGCAGTTTGCTGAGTTGTCATTTTAGGTGGTCTAAGTTTTTATTTTATAACACAGTCTGATTGGCGATATACACAAAAGGTACTAATCCTTATTTGCCACTGAACCTTTCAGTTTTTCTTTCTTAAGTTATTATCTGACCTGCATATATGTTCTCTTTGCTACCCATGATGCTTGATTCATTACTGCCCTAGACTGCTTCCTGGTCTTTAGACATTCCCTGTGTGAGATTTCTTTCTCAGTCAAAATGACAACATTGCCTTCCCTCAAAGAATCTGGACACTGTTGTGTTGCCAGAGCTACTAAGCATTCTGAATCATCTCACCTGCTTGACCAATAAGTATCCATGCATGCTTTCAATGTGAAACTAAAATACTGGTTTACACAGGACATTTCAGTGAAATGATATTTAACTTTAAGTTGAGCCATATCGCACAATAAGTAAGCTTCTTCCTCATCTTTCTTAGAGCATCACTAGACAACACACTGATTCTTCATCTAGAAGAAGTTCACCCTTAGGAGAAAAAGACAACATACTAGCATAAACTTGGTGCATATTTGGTAAATTAGTCTGATTTCATTTTGTAATGGGGTCAGGTGGAAGAAAGCAGAATTTTGTTTGTAACTATGTCTGAAGCATGTATCACAGAAAGATTTCCAAGGCAGGAGGAATAATCTAGGAAGAGAAAGAAAGAAACATTTGCCTTTACACATGATGTGACCATGTACTCAGAGCAAATACTGCTTCTCCTCTTTCTCGATTCAGATGTCTGAAAGGTAGGCCCCATTTCATTCAGATAAGATTCAGCTGTGCCCACTGATCAATTCAGCTGGCTAGGAAATTAATTAAATACTCTATTGACCAGAATACAGTACTACTGTGGATTGATGTTGGCATAAGTGTAATTTCACGAAAAGCAACATATTACTGCTAATTAGTGATTTGCTACTTGCATTGCAAGTCACATGCCAGTTGTATGAGTAGGAATACAAGCAACAACCTGTTAATTAATAGCAACCAGACACCATGATTAACACACATTTGCAATGGTATAAATCTGCAAAAGTATTCTGGCTATTATATATTACTTGGTCCTAGGGTTATTCTACACTTCAGGTAGGTACTGAACTTCTTTGATGTTTGTTTGAAGATCCAAGTATGTGTCTCTTTGCAAGGAGTCTTTCTAGCATATGCTGAATATTTCATCATTATGATTTCTTTTGCAAAAATAATTTCATCTGCCTGGTATATCAGACATTATAGAAATGTACTGTTTATGAGAGAGAAAGAGAGAGGGAGGGAGCTAAAATGGATCCACTACCAGGATTCCTCCTTTCATTTGAGTGTGCATAAGCAAATTAATTTAAGGATTGACATTCAAGTTTAATACTTTCTTTCCCATTGATCATATTTTTCATACTGTTTTTATTTGCAGATATTCCTTAGCAGATGGCAAGGGTGGGATGTGCTTTTTATCTGTTTGTTTCACAACTTCAAACTATAGCTTGGGTACAGGGCAGGTGAAATTCATATATATTCTCCCAGTGTGGAAATCAGAATATTTTAACCCAGCTTTTTGAAGTGCTGCACTGGGGTAACAGCTCATAAATTTGGACTTACAAGATTGCACTGGGACATTTCATCTTTCCACCACGCCCATAAAGGTCTGTTTTAATTGTAGTGGATTTTACCTGGGATTGGTATTTTTCAGCAGCAAAATAGCTTCAGTGATCATTCTGAGTAGACATGTCCTTAATTTTCTTGCTCAGGGTTTCAGAAGATAAATACTTTTCCAGAGAAATAGGTGGCTTATCTCCCTTCCTCGTTTCTCTTCTGGATTTCCTTTCCTGATTTCTCTTGTTTTACAGCTTGTAGTTGTTACTTCTGTGTTTTTTTTCCTGATTTGTTTTCATTTACAGATAATCTTGGTATTAACTTTACCACTTTGAGATAGATAGATAGATAGATAGATAGATAGATAGATAGATAGATAGATAATCTAACCAATTCCACTAAAAGGCTTTAAAAACAGAGACATTAAGCACTCTATGTGAGGGAATAATTTGGCAAGTGGGTCAAATCAGAGTATTCCTTTTGTACTTAATAAGCAATTATACTCTTTTAACTGCTGCAGTGAAATCAACTGTTTTCTGTGTAATACAGCTTTTTAGACTATATATTGGTACTTTTCATGTATCATAAAACTGAAATGAACATATAGTCCAACCTCAGGCTACAGGAGAAACACAGATCTGAATAAATAGATTGGAATGTAGAAGAGTTCATAAGGAACAAACTCTTATAATCTGTTATGAACACATATTGTATATATTGGAATATGGCTAGATCTTGATCCAGGCAATGTACTGTGGATGAGTCATTATAAGAGAGTGAATTTTTTTAAAGAAATACACTAAATTATCTATTCAGCTTCACCAGCAGAAGCAATTGACGGAATTCCTACCAAGTGTAAATGAACCAAAATGAGTAGGGCGA